TATATATATATATATATATATATATATATATATATATATATATAATATTATATATATTATATATATATATATATATATAATATATAATATTATAACACCACACACACACAACACACACACACACACACATACACACACACACACATATATATATATATATATATATATATATATATATATATATATATATATATATATATATATATACATATATATATATATATATATAGATATATATATTCTTCCTTGTGTTCGTCCTTCATCTCATTTATTATATAAGCTTCTCCCCTTTTCTCTCTCTCTCTCTTTTTTATCAGTGTTCTCTGCATATTTCCCCTTCCGTCCTCCTTACAGTCATGGCGTCATGATCTATTTTTAGCCACATTTACGTAAGACGAAAATAGTGCCCACTGGGTTAAGAACAGAATGATTTTTTGCCTATTTTCTCTCCCCTTCTCATCCTTTCTTCCTGTTCTATTTTCTCTATTCTCTTTTCGTCTCTTTCGTTCTTTTTTGTTTTCTCTTGTTTTCACCGTTTGTCTCGTTCCTTCTTCTTGTTCTCTGCTCTTCTCATTTCGTCGTTTCTTGTCTCTTTTTTTCTGTTCTTCTCCTATCGGGCCTTCTTATTTTTTCTTCTCTTTTCCTTCTTACTCCTCTTCTTTCTTTCTCTTCTTCTCGTCCTTTCTCTTTGTTCTCTCACTCTTTCTTTTTTATATTTACCTCCCCCCCTCTCTCTCTGTCAAACCTCTTTTTTTCGTGTATTTCCATCCATGCCCTTCTATCTATTCCCTATCTCTTTTCTCCCTCTTCCTCTTTATCCATTCCTCTCCCTCTATCTGCATTTCTTCAATTTTCCTCTTTATTCATTTCCCTACCTTTATCTCCTTTTCCTCCTTCGTTTTCATCTCTTTTCCTCCCTTTCTTCCTTCTTTCTCTTTATCCACTTTTCTACCTCTTCCTCTTCATCCCTTTCCCTCCCTTCATCTCTCTTTCCTCCCTTTTCCTTCTCATCCACTTTTCTCCCTCTACCCCCCTTTCCTCCCTCCTCCTCTTTATCCATTTCCCTCCCTCTATCTCCCTTTCCTCCCTCCTCTTTGTCTGTTTATGTCTCCCCTGCGATTCAGTTTGTAAAGAAAACGGGATATGTTGGCCAAAGCTCCAAGCAATTAAAATGTCAAATAAAGTTTCGTATCGTCACCATCACTCACAGTCATCTGTTGGAGGGAGGGAGGGAGGGAGGGAGGGAGGAAGGAGGGAGGGAAGGAGGGAGGGAGGGAGGGAGAGAGAAGGGTGGGAGTGGGAGCGAGGGGAGGGGGACGGTGAGGGAGAGGGGTGAGAGTGGGAGGGAGGAGGGAGGGAAAAGAGGAGAGAGGAGAGGAGAGAGAAGAGAGAGAGAGAGAGAGAGAGAGAGAGAGAGAGAGAGGAGAAGGAGAGAGAGAGAGAGAGAGAGAGAGAGTTGTAGGGAATAAGGATGGAGAAGGAGATAAGAAAGAGAAAAATAGAAAGAAAGGGGGACTGGAGAAAAAAAGAAGAGAAAAGAGAGAAAGACGAGGGAGGTGGCAGAAAAGAAAACGAAAACAGAACGAAAGAAAGACTGATAACAAAGAAGCGGTGAGAGGAAGAAATGAAAAACATGATATATAGAATATAAGATAGAGAGAAGAGAGAGAGAGAGAGAGAAGAGAGAGAGAGAGAGAGAGAGAGAGAGAGGAGAGGGAGGAGAGAGGAGAGAGAGGAGAGAGAGAGAGAGAGAGAGAGAGAGAGAGAGAGAGAGAGAGAGAGAGAGAGAGAGAGAGAGAGAGAGAGAGGAGAGAGAGAGAGAGAGAGAGAGAGATGAGAGAGAGAGAGAGGAGAGTGAGGGAAGGAGGAGAGAGAGAGAAGAGAGAGAGAGAGAGAGAGAGAAGAGAGAGAGAGGAGAGAGAGAGAGAGAGAGAGAGAGAGAGAGAGAGAGAGAGAGAGAGAGACAGACAGACAGAGGAACGAAAGAAAGAAGCGAGCGAGTGAATGTGAGAGAAAAAAAGATAACAGGCAGAGTAGAACAGCGAACGAAAGACAAAGACAAAAGAGAAAGGGAATAAGAAGAACACCAATTGTAACGAAAGAGCCAATCAGGCCAACAAAGACACCAAGTCCCGCATATGCACCTAATCTGACACTTATTTCCTCAACATATCTCTGGCCAAGGAAAACAAGCCATTTGTCAAAACCAATTCAGAGAGTCGATAATCCCATAAATCATACCTATATTCTTCGCCTCTATGCACTTTTGGCAAGTATATGGGGAGGTACAAATGAGGTGGATGATTCTAAAGATGTATATGTTAATGGGGCGTGTTGATAAAAATGTTATAATTAAGAAGCGGTGATTATCAACTTACACCAGTAATTAACGGCAGGTAAACTAACCTGTGTGACATCAGCTGTCTCGTTCGTTACTCCGTAAAGAGGCAAATGTTTATAAACAACTTTCTTGCGTATGGTTTTGTGAATAACTGCATTTATTGCCGTCTCTAAGAGGTATTTGCTTTTATAGTTGGTGAAAAAGTGTGTTCTGTCTTCTAATCAGCTAATCAAAATGATACACGTCGGTAGAACCAATCAGCATCGAGCTTACAATCGCCCTCAAACTCTGGGAAGAAAAAGGACCAATCCCCGTTGTCCTTTCCTCGTTGGCGCCAACGGAGAGCCGCATCAACCAATAACAGTCAGCCTTACATTCCCACACAGTTTGCACCAATCATTACAAGCCTTATATAGGAAATCTGACCAATCATCGCAAACCTTGGAATATCTGAGCAATTATCATTCTATTAATTGATATAAGGAACATTAAGATTAAAAATACGTTTAGTTTCCGTTGATAAAATGGTGTAAATAAAACTAACCTAATCAGATTTACACCTATATAGTATTTAAGTAATTCTCTTTATTTTTGAAGAACGGAAGACAAATACGAAGATAGTGTTCATAGATAGTAATATGAACGTAATACTAACGTCATGAATATGATGATGAGATTGAATATATCGAATATTGATATGATACGTGACTTGATATATTTTTATGATATTGATTTCACTTTTTTATTTATCTATTTATTTATGATGTAATATTATTCGTGATAATGCGACGTCAGCAGAACTGATAGTCATAATGATGATAAAAGATATAACGGCCGAGGCTTCGGGTACGGCAGCCGTATCCCATTTCTCACCGGTTAGGCATACGGCACACATGCGCATGATATAAACTTCCGGTAATAAGTTCGAACCTACCTTACCTTAACTGACATTGGTATTATCACATGTCAAGCCGCCGCCATCTTGTTTTCTCACCACGCATGCGCAGGACGTCAATCGTTTTCTTTTCTGCCGTACCAGTAGTCACTTCCCAAAATGTATAATCACAATGGCATTGCTAGTGAATGCTACTGCTACTATTAATACTAATTATAGCAATTAAGATTACTGACGATAATGGTAATAAATGTCCTTGCAACAAATGATAACTCCAGTTAATAGGATAATTAATCTACTACTATTAATTAAAACATTAATAAAAATACACGTAACATAAGATAATGACAAAATAAACAACAAATAAATAAACAAACAGACAAACCAAATAAACAAACAAATAAATAAACAAACAGACAAACCAAATAAACAAACAAAACAAATAAACAAATAAAAAAAAATCATAATTTAAACGATGCGGAAGGATGACTCATAAAAAGAATATTCGAGAAAAAATACAATTATTATCGAGTGTCTCCCACGGGGTACACTGACTCAGACTCGAGGAATGCGTTCCGGAGCTCAAAACACTTCTTTATGTGGCTTTGGGGAACGCTTTTGGCCCCGCCTGACTTTCATGTTCGTTCTGTGACTGTCTGTTTGTCTGTCTGTCTGCCTGTCTGTCTGTCTGTCTTTGGTGTGGGTGTTGGTGGTGTTTTTTAATTTTCTTTTTCTTTTTTTCGTTTCTTTTTTTTATATTTCCTTTGCGTTTTCTCTTTATATCTCTCTCTTTCTGTTCTCCACTTCTCTACGTANTGCATGTATGCGACAAAGTATACTAGAGAAGATTACTTGTACAAACGAAAGTCTCTTTACGTATTTACGTTTGATGGATACTCAAACTTGAAGAAGACAGTCATGAAGCAAAACTTATACATACAGAAATGAAACGTACAACAAAAACACGACAAAAATATGTATGTACAGACACGAGATTAATGAAAGCGAGCGAGTTCAGTTTGTTTACGAATATTCCGTCCATATCACGCATATTAATGATCATGAACACTGAAGATGAGCCCGTAATACAATAAGAAACTGAATGAATGTATATATCCCACCGCAATCTGCACCATTTTAATGTTTATCATTGATGTGTAGACCTTTTATAATTATTATATTTTTTCAATTGTGATTACGGTTATAATTTAAGTAGATATATGAAGGGAATAGAATTTAAACAATGCGTTATATGAAATATGTATATTGAACATTATTCAATAAAACAAAGGACACTAACAACGATACATGAAATAAACAACGAGAACATACACAAAACATACACATACACAGATACTGTTCATATATATACTGAACGGATGGTCACTTACGGTTAAGTTCATTTATGAACACGGTCACTTTAATGTTATTCACGATCATGATTACGGGTTCGGTTACTTTGAGGTCACTCGCGTTTACGGTCACTAGGGTCATTCACTTGCGCTCGCGTTACTCGGAACACAGGGGAAATAGTCTGGTAGCGCACAATATGGAATACGTAACCTGATGTGGCCGTCGCTGCTCACCGGTGTCTCTCGTCTGCCGGTACTTCCTTCTCGTCCAGCGAGGTCAACCTTACGCGGGTAAGAACGCCGCATACTGTTGACAGGTATCGTCGTTGCTCGATGGTTCGACACTTCGGACTGGCTTTTACGTTGTTGAGCGCCGGCCGAAACGAGTGAAATGTCTTATGTCGTCCTTATTATGGCGGCGTCCGAAAAAGCTTGGGAACCAGGCGCTGGCGGTCGAATGAGGGCAAAAGTGGCGACCGATGATGCGTCCACTACACTGCCCACGCTATCGCCCAAACCACGCTCTTCTAAATATAGAGGCCACGCCATCCACCAAGGGTATATAAATTCATCCAAGCTAACCCTCATTCTCACTCGTTCACCGCTTCTGACCTGAGTTTCCCTTCCAGGCTCTCCAGACGGTGGTTCCACCCAGTGCCGTTCTTCATGTATCGTTATTCTTGTATGTGCTGTAACTCTTAGCAATAAAGAGAACAGCCATACCGTGTATAACTGAGACCATTTGTACTTCAACAACTATAAAAAAAAACAAGAGATATTATAAACTCTTATAGTCGTTCGGCATATTGAGTTGGTGTGACCTGTATTAACGTCTGATTATGAAGGGACTAGGGTTTAAACTGGAATTAATTCGCCTAGTAAAAACAACCTTCTCACTTTCTTTACCGTTGGCATGTCCGGAAAATTCCGACAATCGTGTGATTCGTAGTTGATATCTGCGTGCGCCATTCACAGACTGTAGAGTAAGACTAACGATAAAATTCGAGTCTCATATAGTCACTTCATTTGTTCAGATAATTTGGGCATAAAGAAATCCCACTGTCGCTGAAAACTAGCTCTGACATGCGTAAGCGAGATATTATTTCCTCAGTCTGTCAGAGTTTGTAGCGTTCCCATGATTACGATTAAATAGTCGGGGATAATGTAAGAAACATTTCTGAACTGGGATGCTTCCATTGTGAAAGCTTGCAAAAGAAATTTCATGTCACCATTCATTTGTGTACGTTAATTGTTGTGTTAACATGGTAATGATTATAGCATTTGTTAAAATGAACCCTAAATTCGTGTTTGTGATTCATCTTCGTGTGAGCTCAATTTCTCTTCACACTCATAATTACACACACACACACTCATTCACGCAAACAGACGCTGTAAAGTCAAATCTTCAATTATAGGATTTGTTGTGCATGATTGCAGGTTATCTCTTTTACCCGCAATGTTGCTGTGATGAGTTAAACATACACGCAATCATTTCACACACTCTTCCACGCAGTTCAACAGAACACTGTTAAGTCAAATCTTCATGTATAGGATTTGTTGTGTCATGGTCCAAGGCTATTTTTTGCTTGTGACGTTGCTGATCGGGATTAGTGGAAATGATGCACAATACATATTTTTTTCTTATCTATGAAATGACAATCGGTTCAAGTTATCCTTGCGGATGCCTATGTCATTTCCCTTATCTATTCTCATATCTATCTGAGATGGTTAGTAGCCCAAGCAAGTTCGTGAGAACTGCTACTCTCCTCTCCCTCATTTATTTTTCTTCCTGAAAACTACAAAAGTAAAAAAAAAAAAAAAAAAAAAAAAAAAACGAAAATAAATGAAATAACCACATTAAATACTGCAAATTAGTCTAAAAATAACGGCTTACAGCACTTAAATATCATCCTCCCTCTCTGTTGTTTTTCTTTTCTCTAACTATCTTGGCCCTTACATGTATAAACTGGTTCATGTTGTATATATATGGACGTGTATATCCGATGCGGCATCAAAGGAGATCTAACTGCAGCACGATCGCCTTGCAATGCCGTGAGACGAACATCGCCAGAAGATCGCCGCAGGCCAAAGGACGAGGACTCGCGAAATTGCAGGTATTAAGCCGCCCAGATCAAGTGGATGGGCGCCGCCTGTCAGTACTCCCGTAGATCCAGTGAAGAACCAGGAACTCGTCAGAGCAGGCCCCATGATGCTATGAAAAGCCACCTGCCTGGACGCCCGTAGATCGGTTAAACTCCAGGAGCTCCCCAGGAAGGAGTAAGACGCCTTCAGACGAAAGGACGCCACTGCCCAGGACGCCGTAGACCCAGACGCGCAGGCTACGAGGACGTCGGTACGAGCCGAAGCCGAAAAGGACCTGGACGAATCTGTGAGGATGTGTGGACGATGACGCCGCCGAGTACCACCTGGATAAGGACTACGAGGACGACTGGACGAACCGGTCAAGGAGGACCTTGGCGAAACCTTCGAGGACGTGTGGACGTCGATGAAGGATGGATGCACCAAGGACCAAGATGAAGAGGCCGACAACGAGATGCACGAGGACAACCGAGAACAGGCACGCGACGAGACGACCAGCAGAATGGCACGATGATAGGTCACCCTTGAAGTGATTCAGATGACGCCACGAGGACGAGGCTCAGGTGGTGGCCGAGCGGTATAAAGGGTGCAATACATGAAGACCACACGTGGTGTGGGGCCTGCCCACGCTATCGCCCAAACATCGCTCTTCTAAATATAGAGGCCACGCCGTCCGCCAAGTGGTATATATGGTCATCCAAGCTGACCCTCATTCTCACTCGCTCACCGCTTCTGACCTGAGTTGCCCCTCCCGGCTCTCCGGCCGGGGGTTCCACCCAGTGCCGTTCTTCGTGTATCGTTATTCTTGTGTATGTGTTGTAACTCTTAGCAATAAAGAGAACAGCCACGCCGTGTATAACTGACGCCACCTGTAATTCAAACTACAATATAAACTAGAGGTGTTAGTACCTCTTACACGACTACCCTAACAAAAAAGCTATTAACTTATTCTAAATTCTTCATAGAACCCCATTAGTGTCTCTTGCGAGGGCCATCGTTACAGTATGGTCCTCCACTAACGGCACCTTTCCCTTGCAGCTGGACCTGGTCAGAGCGGGCGACGCCGAGGCCTTGCAGGCGGCCCTCGCCTCCCTCGCCCCCCGCGCCACCAAGGACTTCTTCGGTGAGGCTGCGCGGTCGCCCAACCCTCGCTTTCTTCGTCATTTTTTTGTGCTCTATATCATATATATATATTATATATATATATATATATATATATATATATATATATATATGTGTGTGTGTGTGTGTGTGTGTGTGTGTGTGTGTGTGTGTGTGTGTGTGTGTGTGTGTGTGTGTGTGTGTGTGTGTGTGTGTGTGTCCTTTCTTTCTTTTTTTTTTCTTTTATAGGGTATTGTATTGGTAAGATTCTTTATCAAAACCGAATCACAGAAGCTGCATCTTGGAGTAAGAAGCCGCATGGTTAGGCCTCGAAGGCCATTTGAAAGAGCTCGGTTTCTGATGAATGTGGACCCGCTGGCGGGATGGATCCCTAAGAGCAACGCTTCTAAAACCAAAGTGAATGTATGGAGAAATAGATGAAATAAGCAAATAGAAAATAGAAGCAAATTCAAGGAACGCCCCTCCATGGCGGCGCAGGCACTGACGAGACCTCGAGGGGCACCGGAGAGCGAATCGTTAACGGCGGAACAGCAGGTCATGTCTGCCGTTATCGGTCGTTATCAGAGGAAATGGCGCGAGTCCAGCCCCTCTGATAACAGGCGTCGAGCAGATACGACTGGCCGGGACGCCCTAGAGAGGACGACCTCTCGCGCCCTTCGAGGCTGAGTTGCTCCCTCGGTGACGAAGGCGGCGAAGGAGCCTGGCCGGAGGATTTACGCGGCGGAGGAGGATCGTTCAGGCAAGAGTTGCAATGCGTAGGATTATGAAGGAATGACTTCCTCTCTCAAATTGTGATAATCTGATATTCTCTTCCCTTCTTCCCCCTCCTCTTCCTCTCCTTTCCCTCCTCCTCTCACCCTTCCTCTTTCTTCTACCTCCTTCCTCATCTCCCTTCCATTCCCTTTACCTTTCGTTCCCCTCCGCTTCCCTCTCCTCTTCCCTCCTCTTCTTCTCTCCCTCTACTTACCCTTCTCCTCTCCCCCTTCTTGTCTTCTCTCCCCCCTCCTCTTTCCTCCTCTTCCCCCTTCCTCCTCTCTGTCCCCCCTTCCTCTTCCACTTTCTTCTTCCCCTATTCCTCTTCACTCCTTTTCACCTTTCCCCTTCCCACCTTCTCTGATCCTCTTCCTCTTCCACCCTTTTCTTTCCCATCCTCTCCCCCTTTCTTTTCCCTCCTCTTACCCTTTCGTCTTCCCTCCTGCTCCCCCCCCCCCCCCCAGCCGAGAAGCCGCTGCACGTCGCTGCCGAAGAAGGCCACGAAGAGTAGCCAAGACGCTGATCTTGGAGGAGGATGTTAACGGCAAAAAGGAGAACGGTATGTTTACATTTGCAATAATGATGATGATAGGGATTACGCTGATGATAATGATGGTAGTAGCTGTACTAGTAGTATTAGTAATAACAGTAATAATGATAATGATATGGATGAACTATAATAAGAGTTGTAGTAAAAATAGTAATAGTATTATAGATAATGATAACGATTATGATGATCATAATAATGTCGATGCCAATATTGAAAATAACGATAGTATTGATAATGATGATATTAGTATAAAAATAACAATCATAATCATAACAGTGCTAATGATGATGATGAGTACAGTAATTATAACAATAATAATAATAATGGTGATGATAATGATAACATTCATAATGATAGAAAAGATGATAATGGTAATAATAACAATAATAGTGATTATTATAATTATAATAATAATAATGATAACAGTAATGATAGTGAAAATCATAATAACAATAATGTAAATAATGATTAATATTAGGATATAATGATATTAATATAATAAATGATAATGATACTGATGGTGATAACGATGATTATAGACATAATGATGATGGAAATAATAATGGTAATGATAAAAGTATTGATAATAAGTTATCATTCTTAATAATAAAAAACTGTAACAATAATTTATGGTTGTCATCATTATCATTATTGACCTTAGTATTATTATCATCATTATTGTTATCATCTCAATCATCTTTATCGTCTTTATTTGATTATCATTCACATAACTTTCATTTATAAAGAATTTAATTTCCAATCTACATTTTACTTATATCATTATTATTGCTTCTGACAATTTCTACGTTTGGTACTATGCAAGTTTTCTTATCGATTTCATATTGATTTTCTACCTCGTTAATTTTCTATTCATACAATCAACCCAATATATCTGATTCTTTATCATGTATGTTTGTGCTTATTTCTGCGTTTACATAATCGGGAATTGGCTTATGGAAAGAACCGTTTTTTTTTTTCTCAGGCTGGACTCCATTGCATGAAGCAGCCTATAGCGGTCACACATCGGTGGTGACGGCGCTTGTGACTCGAGGGGCGACTGTGAACGGGAAGACCAACCTTGGTAAGGCCCTTTGGTTGTAGAGATACTTGATTCAGGAGGATACAGAGTGGAGCTCGCTTTACAACAATAGTGTGTGTGTACAAACACACACACACATAAATGTGTATGTTTGTCTCAATATATATACATACATATCATGTTTATGCATATACATTATGTAAATACACACATACATATACACACACACACACACACACACACACATATATATATATATATATATATATATATATATATATATATATATGTGTGTGTGTGTGTATGATTGTGTGTGTGTGTGTGTGTGTGTGTATGTCTGTGTGTGTGTATGTCTGTGTGTGTATGTATATATACTCAAATATATATGTACGTACAGTTGCGGAATTATATTCCAGTACACTTACTGGGTCCACTCTTGTACATCTGGCAACAAATCGAAGTAAACAGCATAATAGTATTTTTGTGAATGAAGGTAAAATCCTAGGTAGTTTGTAACAAAGAGTGTGATTGGTCGAGTATGAATACACAATTTTTAAGCAAAATAAACCATTTGATCTTTCGCTTTATTCAAATAAGTGATTAAAAAGACATGCAATACTAATTATCGTTGAATTTGCATTGGCATATTCTTCAGGTGCGATATCCTGGATTTTTTTTTTTTCGAAATGGCAACACCTATGATGGAGAGGCGGCATTTCCCCCTTCTTTCAACAAAAGAAGTATCAATCACAGCTGCATATTTTTTGAAATACGAAAAGGTTAATGCTTTTAAACATTTGTGTCTGGGAACTAAATCATTTAAAATATATGTAAAATGACTGGGACCTTTACAAATACTTATGGTGACTGCACCATCTAGCTGCGGCTAATCGAACGATTACATTGATTGTTTATTTATTTATTTATTTTTGCCAGAACTTATTGAATAAACAGAAACTGTTATATCAACTTCTTCAATATAGAACATGAAGTAAACACAAAATTCACAGTGAGGCTACAGTGAATACATAGATCCGTTATCAGTGTGTGTGTGTGTGTGTGTGTGTGTGTGTGCAGCGTCTATGGAAATTCGAAGTCATACTAGGTTATGAGTTACGAGAGAGTATTATAATCAGCCATTATTAAGCCTCTTTGAGGAGTCGCATTCTGGTTCGAACAGCTCAGCGAGAAAATACATGTTTGCTTGTTTCAATTGAAGCAACTACTAGCTGCGTGGTTCCAAGGAGGTGAATAGCAAAACTCCAAGAACCGACTCCCAATGCTGTATATCTTGTTCACTCTAATGAAATTACTTTTCATATCTGTTTTGTATTTGTTAATGTATTGTAATACAGTATATGCGTGGTGTAGATGAAATTAACATACCAAAACATTCACATCAAAAATTTTTCTATACATTATTTTAGAAATAATAATTCCTTGGTTTGTGAAAAGCTTATTTGTTCGCCCGGAACTTGAGTAGTTTACAAAAAGAGAAACTATCTACAAAATGAATGACAGGAAATCGTATATCTCATATCTTTTATGCCAACGAATGTTCGTCAATTCCTGAATATCTATTTCGCAGCTAATCCTAACGTATGCTAAATATGAAGGAAGATACATCCGATGGTCTAAGACCTCATAATGACATGGAAAATCCGAGGTCAGAACGAGGCTGCCAAGCTGACACCTTTTTCAGGATGGACGCAAGGCAAGCTGTGATCGGGAATAGAGGCTGTCACAATGCGGCGAGGGAAAGTAATATATTCAGAGAGTTGGACATCTTCCGGACGATGGTATACAGATAGTTATAGTGGGAGAAGGAGGGCACCCACAACGACCGCCCTCTCTCACCACTGCAGCTAAGATTTATGAAGACTAGAGCTCCTGGTAACTGGCCGCACGGTGAAGAGAACGACTACATACAGATAGGGTAATCATAGAACGTCACCAAAGAAAGGCTGAACGAACGACAGCGATAACGTCGCCTCCAGGTCGCCCAGCAGTATGTGGAGAAGGATCTAGATGACCGGCGAAGAGCAATAAGGACAGAGAAAATACATCGGAAATGCACGGAAAGCTTCTGTGCTGGATGAGAGAAAAGGTGAAAGTGTTATTAACCTCTTCAATTTTTCACAAAATTCATCCAATTTGCGATATGAAACGGCAAGGATTGGCCACGTGACCTGTGATATTGTGGGGGTGGGTCTTCCTGCATGATGTTGGCGAAACGGGGAAATGCACCTTAGACAAATATATCGAATTGTTAGAAGGAAAGGATCCTCCCATCAGCACGCTGTTGCCTTGGCTCTTCCCAGAAACAATCCTATTTGTGCAGGATAACTGCCCTATACTCACGTCTAGGGCAGTTAGGAAGTGGGTCCATGACAAAAACCACCTGGAGGTCCTTCGATGGCCAAGCAAAGGATGTGACTCAAACCCGACGAAAAGTGTTTGGGAAACGACCAATGGAACAACCTCCCATCAGCTAATAGATCATGATAAGAGGGAATGGGAAGCGTAAAGGAGGAAATCGAGACGCTGCATGAACACGTCGCCTCTGTCTCGGGGATTTAACGCGGATTGAATAACAATACATTGTTCTTATTATAAACATGGCGAGCCCAGTACTTGTCTTCTTTTATTACAGTTGCTACGATTTTCTTTAAAAAATAGACTACAATAAAAATAACCCCAAAATTAATAAGCATCCCCAATCCTCTAAGAAAAAAAAAAAGAAAAGATATACATATATACATACACACACACACACACACACACACACACACACACACACACATATATGTATATATATATATATATATATACAAGTTATCAATTACATTTCATGGCATTTTGCGCGAGATGGGATCAACATTATGAAATATAAAACTAAAGATTCTAAACAAAGTGTTAAACAACTGCAGCTCTTTCACACACACAACACACACACACACACAACAGTTTTGCGTTTAGTTAATATTGTTTATTGAATCCGTGTTTGGAACTGACGAGGGAAAAAAAATATTCGTCACGTTATTAGTTCACATCCATATGAAGATTATCCATAACTTTGATTTTATGATAAAGAACAAGTATCCATATATATATATATATATATATATATATATATATATATATATATATATATATATATATATATATATATACATATTTATATATGATATATGTGTACACACACACATAGAGCGTTAACAGACGTGTATTGGCAAAAAGGAAAAGGAAAAGCTGCATGAATGACAAAAGTAGAGAGCGAGGTTAACTGACTTATCAGAACGATTTTTTTTTTTTTTTTTTTTTTTTTTAATATCCGTTATCTTACAGCACATGTATTAAGAGTCAGTTCTTAGACTTTTGCTATTCACTCTCCTGGGAACCACCTAACTAATAGTTGCTTGAGTTGAAACAAGGAAGCATGTATTTTTCTCGCTAAACTGCTCGAATTTGGATGCGTCTCCCTTTAGAAACGACAAGACTTAAGAAATAATAGCGGCGAAAACTATGATCAGATTTTAGCTTAATAAAAGACATTCAGAAGAACCGAAACGAATTATACATATTTTCATAACTCGCCACTAAGTAGTCGGCACACACACACACACACACACACACACACACACACACACACACACACACACACACAATGATGAAGCATCTTTACATTCTGTGATGAAGAATATAATGTAGCTTTTGTTCATTGAATAAGCGTTTGGTTCTGGCAAGGAGAAAAAAAAAATATATCACTTTGATAAATCGATTAGCCTGTACTAGATGGTGCACTACCACAGGTCTTTTAATCTATTTTTTGTTTGATTTGTTGCAATATATAGAGGTTAAAAGCTTTTCGTGTTTCACGAAACATTTATATTTGTTGTCTTGAAAGAAGCGGAAAATGCCACCTGACCGCTACAGGTGTTGCCTTTCGATAAACAAACCATTCCAGGATATCGTATTTGAAGAATAACACAATACAAATTCAACGACAACTAATATCACATGTGCTGTTAGCAATTGTTTGAAGAAAATAAAAAATCAAATGATTTACTTAGGTTAAAATAAATATCCACTTATACACTCACTGGTCATTTATATTCGACAATCATACTCTTTGTTACAAACTACCTAGGGTTTTAACCTCATTAAAAAAATGCTAATTACGCTATGTTTACTTCGATTTGTTGCCAAATGTGCATAGATACACACATATATACTTATATATATATGTATATATACATATGTGAATATATATATATATATATATATATATATATATATATATATATATATACACACACACAGTATATATATATATATAGTATATATACATATATATGTATATATATATATATATGAACACACACGTATATATATATGTGTGTGTGTATTAATACATATGTACATATGTATATATATACATATATATAAGCACACACACACATACGCGCGCGCGCACACACACATATATATAATCACAAATTTGTCCCTTGATCATTATCTTCTCCTTTCAGGGTCTACTCCGTTACACTTCGCAGCCCAAGAAGGTCACGAGGCGGCGGCCGAGGAGCTCATCGTCAAGGGCGCCGATGTGAACGCAAAGGACAAGAATGGTGAGGCAATCTTAAGGAAGACAATTTCGATTTTATATATAAAAATTCAGGGACATATTAAAGGACTTAGATATCACCATTTCCATGATTATTTAATCAGTTTTACTTGCATGAATTACCATGTTATTGTAATAAATATTATCATTATTGATATCATATTATCATATATCTTTTTTTGTCATTACCATCATTATTACTAATATAGTTAAAGTAAAAACCCCATAGAGGAAAGATTTGGGAGAAGATATTCTAAGGAGTGAAAGGAATTAAGACTATTATAAAGCAAAAACCATATTAAAAGCAAATTAGATACATAAATGAACAAATAAACAAAAAGATAAATAAATAAGACTGTTAGATGATAAAGAATGCCAAGGGATATAAAATTAAGATCAAGACGGAAGGCATTTTGCTGGTGCTATTCATAGATGGTACGTGGCTTGAATACATGTATCACAAGTATGACTCCCCGTACATGGCTTCAAGCATGACTCTCTGTAAATGGCCACAGAAATGGCTCTCGGTAAATGACCTGAAGCATGACCCCTTGTAATAGTACACTCAGCCTCCTTTCGGGATATCAGTGGGTCTGGATAGGTACTAATTTCAGCTGGTCATTCGGCACTTGTGCATCTAACAACTCCATTCACTTCATTCCTTTCATTCCTAGCCAGCCGTACATATGTATGAATTGTCTCCTTTTCTCTTTTATTTATCATCGGGAAAAGGAATAAAAAAAAGTAAAGCGCATCTTCTTGCTGCACACTTCACTTGGCTGCTGGAAAAGGTCACAAGGCGATGGTGATGTTGATCGGCAAGGGATGAATAATGACGACAATAGTATCAGTAACTATAGCAATGGTTATAAAGTTAACAGGAGTAAGTGGAAAATGAATGACAGCAGCCATCTCCCTCGCGCACGTTTCAACTCATTTCCTGTTGTAGTATGATGGGCGTTATGACAGGCTCATAAAGTTCTCTGCTCCACGTTGTCATGTCACTGATTTCGACTCTCTTTCTGTCTCTCATTAATTTTATTATTCCTTTTGTACACATAAAAAGGTATGAAAAATCAAGAAATTTCAAGATAACGTTTGGTGACCGTTATCATCTACCCAAATTTCTAGATTTATTCAGAGGTGACATGGCAACATGCGCATGCAAATACGCACACGTATATATATATGTATAAATATATATACA